TTAATTGGGTACATAATTATCAAAGTTAACCAACACTTAGACAAAGATCAATAATCCCTCCTGATCTTTGTTGCCTTTATTATGGGCTAAAAATAAAACCTTTTTTGCTGCCTTCATTTATGATAAAAAGTGCCTAATTTATTACATAAAATACCTTTCATTATGACAAATAAGTACGAACTTTAAAGCGAGTAGTAAAGGAACCCGGAGTGGTATATTGGAAACCCGAAACGTTTTTCTGGGCGTTATTCACCGTATCCTTAACCAGTACAAGGTGGAGGGATGCGTGTGTGTAGGTGGGGGCAAGTGGAAGTAAAAATGCATTTTTTTTAAAATGAACCCTTTATTATTCTTAAAAGAACAATTTGGCCTCAGCTTACCATCGCGGACTACGTGGTCTTTAACTTGTTGCCACTGCTTCAAGTTCTCAGATTTTGGTGAGAATAAAAATAGAAAATCCGCTAAATAAATTTCAACTGTGTGCAGACGCAAGGGCGATATAAAATGCACGGGGTATTAAACCTCTTCATTATCTGCGGAACTCTGGAAAAACTGAAGTAGAAGGCACAAAATAAGCATATGGCATTGTTTTCTTAGATACCAGCACACAGTCTGAAGTCTACGAAATCGGTTAATTTGTGCTCTCTATCCCTATTCGTTACATTTCAAGGAAAGGCAGTAAGGAAACGGGGCCCGCTCATGCAGATTTTGTGATGATAAGGTCCCTATCCATTTTTTTTTTTTTTTTTTTTATCTTTTTTGCCCCGCGGGCCTTGTTTGGTGCCACCGTTAATAACACTATTTTCATTGAGTGCCAGTTCAGAACTTACAGAAGTCTCAATGGTCTCAGTTTCCTCGTAAGAAAGGTTCTTGGTCTCCGGAAGCTTTGTGGGCAGCTCCCCTATTTTCTGCATGTCAAGATTAACCCGGCAGTTGCGACAAATACCTGTTGAGTGAATCGATGGAAAATGCAGGTTTTTGCTGATACGATATAATCACTATTCTGAACAACTACGGTCTCAATTTACACAAGTAAGGGAACCTATTTTAAAAAAACTTAAATGATAGATTTTCCTGCCCTTTCCTATACTTCAACTCTTCAATTCCCTACCCTTTGATATACCTGAAGCCAGATAAAGGTACCCTTTAGGGGCTGAGTCTCCCTGTAACTATCTTTAAGCCATCAGGGAATCTGCTTTAAAAAGCTGTAATTTTAGGAGTCCGGTGAAGGCTTCTAAATTTACCTTTTTGCTGCTACAATCACTAATATAAAATGTTAGAATAATGAAAGGAAAAGAAACACGCAAATAAACAAAGGCTATTGAATTTGCGACCGTCACGGCTACTTAATTATTGAAAAAGTCAAAACAAAAAAAAAAAAGAAAAGTGCTTACAAAGTGCTTTAATTGAAGTGTCAGATTCGACCGCCATTTTAGAGCTGGTCTGTTTGGTTGAAAAAGATGAAAAATGATGTATACATACCTGAATCAACTGGAATAAAAATTCCCAGTTTCTTCCATATCAAATAACAAGCACTTTTGCCAAGTCCTCTTTCTGCCTTTGCGTTTTTTGGGCTTGTCCGCCGTGCTTCGATCCTTGACGCCACCCAATACCAAGGGATGAGCGGTGCCGGGGGCAAATCGTTAATTCCGAAAGGTCTAACTCCGAAGAAAAGGATGTAGATACTCTTCCCAAAATAAGTTCGATTTCGGTTTCTAAGTCAGTTATTGACAAGGAAGACTTATGACCCGCGATGTCTCTTTTGCAGTTCAGAAATGGAATAACCTCAGTTGATCTGCTCTGGGGTCATAAGAGCAAGAACCACCGAGTAAGGAGCT